GACACTATAATTTCGCCAAACGCAGCGTGTCCAAACTGCCAGACTACGATTTTCTCATTTCTGACTAAGTTAACTAATGCCTCACAAATTTTCAGCTATAATCAAATGACGTAAGAAAAAAGGTTCGCTGGCTCCCGGACTACTAGTAGCATTTATGGTTGGCCAACGGTGGCCAACAGTTGGGAGTTAGTTGGGATATGGTTAGTGTTTTTGCGAACAAATTCCCAAAATAGGGCCTATGACGAAAAAGTTATGACAATTTGCCAACGAATGTCCAATGTTGGGCCTACAACTATTATAGTTGGTTAATTGGCAAGAAATTTACAATGATAATACAACATTGACCCACCCAAAGTTTGCCAACACTTAAATATAGTCTTGGAGACATCAGAAACGTTGCTACAACCAAAAACTTGTTATTATATTTTAAATTGATTTTTTTGTTTACTTGTTTATGAAGATACTCACAATTTGTTACTTTTGCAAGGGTCATCAACGACTCACATTATTCACGAAAGGTTAAAAGTATTAAACTTTTCCCACAGTCTTAATAAATATTCTAACCAACAATTGAGAGGAAGATTAATATGTGGAAGTTAAGTATTCATCACGACCACGTTAATTATTTGTATTTTTAAACAAATACATATACAAAAATAAATAAATAAATTAATTAAATAATTAATAATAAATATTCCATGACCCGAAATGAAATTATTTTTTGACGATTTTTTCCATTCTGTGAGTAACAGCGCACGAGGTTTTTTAAATGACATCTTTTACTTTTTCTTTGATACTTCGACATCGCTCTTTAACGCTAGTTCCGGCTTTAATCAAATACATAGAAAAAAAAATTATGTTACAGTTGAGAAACGAGATCGATATACGTATATAGTCTCTGGAAGTTGCACGCGCACGGACTCCGGGTTTTCATTCGCCCCGGCAAACGGACGCGTGCAAATTGTTTCCACCGCATTATCGAGGATCAAGGAAATTCCGCCGATAGTCTATCTCGTTTACGAGCTTTAACGACCCCTCCGTGCGACCTCCATCGTCTGCACTCTACACACACACGAGCTCTTCGTCATCCTCGACGGAAACTTGCGTTACGAGGCATCGTGTCCACGGCCTTTCGCCCGCGCATTACGATTGTTAACGGTTCCCCGTGTACGTCAAACAGTGTTACAAGATTACCTTTCGTTCGCCCTTAAAGACACGCAGTTAATTGAACGATTATTGGAGACCGTTAGTGTTAAGAGCGAGATAGCGGTGTTACGATCTACTTAGCAAGATTCACTATCATGGACGTTTCCCTTGTCCATGAATTGTGATACAAACATGAGATTGTTCTTATAATTCACACTGTTATGGTGGACATTTTAAATTAACAACATAAAAAATAACGAAAATGTAACAGTGTGTGAACTGTAAATCACCACAATTATATTGGGTCATTAACCCGTTCATTCCCAAATTATTTAAATGTTACCAATGAAAAATTTTATTGCATCTTTGTGTATATTAGATGACATATAAATGATTTAGAAGAACATTTTAACATTTTTAAACCGTTCAATGCCATTTTTCATTCAATGCCATATGGCAACTTCTTTACTTTCATCACAATTATATATAATAATTCCTGTTATAATGTTATTATTCACAATATAACACGATTATTCTTACCTTTGATCGATAAACCCTCTGGAAATATTTGAAAGAAAACTTCCATCAAATGAATGAGACAAAGGACCAATATTGTCTTATTTTACCGATAAGTTTTCAAATACACATTCAAATTTGTGCCACACCATCTATACAAGTCTAGAAGAAACTACTATATACTCACAGCTATGAACAAATACATGATACTAATATTTGATTTCGTAATTTAGAATACGTAGTCATATGGCGACAGTGTAAACGAAAAGGTTAAGTATGAAATTTGACAAATAGCAAAACGCAAAGTTTCGCATTTATTATCTTTCGTTTCGCGCCAAATTTCAGTGTCAGGTTAGGTTAATCGGAACAATACATCTTCGTTCTTCGTAAGTCATATTTGTTTGTTAAAATATCTTTATTATTCTTTTTGGTGGATCCATTTTTGTAGAACTATGGAAAAATTGAGAATTGTTGTGGTTTATGAGTATGAGTTCAACCATGGAACTCCAGTGTCGAAGACAGCCCGTAATGTCAACGCTGTGTTAGGTGAAAAAACCATAGTAAGGAATGGGTTCAAAAAATTGAATAATGGGAATTTCGGCTTCACCAATGAGTCGCGTAGAAAACCAGAGACGAAGGTGAATAATGATCACCTGAGAACTGTAGTAGAGTCCGATTCATCTCAAGGTACATGTGAATTTGCATCGATATTGTGTCTCCATATCCATTATATTGGATCATTTGGCACAAATCGGTAAAGTAAAGACGTTATGTTCTACTTGTCAAGTTTTATACTTAATGACCCAATAATAGTTATTCAGTAATGTACCATGAAGTAGTATCTCATATGGTGCCAATAAACACGTTCGCTACCAGGCGCCATGTATATGTATTTGTGACGTTTTAATTTCTAAATCCGTGTATGGACTTATTCGAAAATAGAAGAATGTGCTTTTCAATAATCAGCAGTATTTTATCTCATTCATTATCTGTGTTTTATGTCTTTTTAACACCTATTCAATCAGGTAAGAACATTCCACTGAATAGAATAATGCAAACCTAGTATGAACTGTGACGATGGTTTTCGAAACAATGTGGAGGGTGCAAACATAAGTAACGGATTACGATCATATTCATAAAATGCTTAACGCGAACTTTGGCAGCTGAGTTATATTTGAGCGTATTATTCAATAATTCAAAAATTTATGTATTGAACAAATTGAAAAAAAAGCAACTTAGTGTGTAATAAGTTAGATTCATCTAGAAATTAAATATTAAATCTATATGTGGTATTTTATCAAACCTAAGAATTTTTCGATTTAAAAATTATTATTCCATTTCTTTATGCTCCTGTAATTATCTTCTTAATGTTTTCAACAAGCAGAATTCATTTAAACAAAATTGTGAAATGATAATTGTGTTAAATAGTGTTAAAATATAGAATTTAAATTGTACAATTTTTATTGAAATTAAGCTTATGTTAAATGAACCCAAATAATGTAATTATAATTTTGCATTTACTTTACATTATAAGAATATTCTATTAAACTTATAATATTGCTTTCATGAACTCAACCAGTGTAATTACTCAAATCATAATCCCAAAACAATTCACCAACTTCAAAATCAACTTCAATACAACTAATTCATATCTCTTAAGAGATCATTTCGATTGCACTATTTTATTATGTATAATTCCTACCCCAGTTTATGGCAAAAAAGTGTTATAGTTCTTTTCACACGGTCTGTACCCTAAGGACAACGTAATTCTCGTCAAAAATTTACTGCCGAGGAAACAACACGTGAACGATTCGAGATTTCAAATAATGGGGTGTATATTACAGCCGTTGGAAAATGTAGGTAAAACAAGAAAGAAACGGAAGAGAAAAGGGGCTCCTTCAACGAAGGGAAGAGGTTCAAATGACCGACTTATTTAAACGAAGTGCATTGATGCGTGGGCCTTTGTGGACAAGGAAACAAGTTGCCCGTTCATGTCGTATGAAAAGAGCATTGAAATTTCGACAAATAAAATTAACCAATAAAGAATTTTTAGCTAATTTTGAAAACATATTTATAAGGACACATAAAGTTCTTTTTTACATTATTGAGAGAGAAAATTATTTATTGTACGTAAGAGAAAAGTACAATAATAGAAAGTGTAAACATACTTTAATAATATAATTTTAAAACTAAATTAAATTATTAATTGTATTATACAGAAATCTCAGGTTACTTAACTTTCCTGCGATTACGTCAGTATGTACCATGTGATTGCTATTTACTTTAAGCTCAAAATAAAATAATAAATAAATTATAAAAGAACTTTGTGTAGATTCAAATAAACAACATATTTTACCTCATACTTTATGTCGTTTTTGTATTCTTTTGATCACAATACATTAATAGTAATTTTTGCAAGAAATATTTATTTCATTTAAATGGAAATTATTTTTCAGTTTCTGACTTGTACACAATTATGGACATGGAAATATTTCCTGTTTTTAGAGTATTACATCGTTTCACGAGTAGCGATTTTTACTTGTACGACAATATTACTCAATAAATTCGAAACAATGATAATGTAATATAAGCATAACCTTGCACTCATAAAAGTTAATTAAAAACTACTTAATTCAGTTAAAAGATGGATTCATGCATTTATCAGATTCTTCCTAAACTATTTCAATACCTTTAACATTAGAGCAACACCATAATTTTCATCAGAGATTTAAATGCCACTCAATGTCTGAAAATGTCATTTCTACCTTAGCATCGAATATTTCTCAAAGAACATGGCGTAACGATTCCCTCGGTTTCCATTTGTCCCAACAATTGAGAGGCTCAAGAAACATAACTCATGTCATATTTATTTTTTTTTCAGGAGAGTAGAAAAATATTTTGACGTCTTTAATTTTTATTTAAATCGATTTCTATTTTGTGTTTTAAATATTCAGAATAACTTAGGCCATAGTAGCGAACAAAAAAGTTGCCACTTTCCTGATTCTTTATATTCCTATTATTTTTTAACATCAACTAAAAAGTTTGATGTACTGGGTTTTAATACAGCTTGTAATTTCCTATCGGAATGTAAACACGCACTAAAGTTTTAACTTCATGTTAAAAGAAAATAAAAACAAAACAAATTAAAAAAGTGGTAACTTTTGTGTCCGCTACTGTAGATCGTTTTTAATATTGTGAATCTTGCTGGAGACCACTAAAATCTGTTGTTATCACAAACATAGAAATATTCGACAAAGATCGTTTGTGTTACGAGTCTCTCAATTTAATATTCATGAAAATACAGTGAAAATAAAAAAACAATAAAGTATAAAACTCACCGGTGCTGGAGGTAGACTTGCTGAGATCAAATCCTTCCTGTTTGGGGCTGGTGTTAGCTTCTTGCTTCGGATGTTGATTATGCACAGAAAACGGTGTATGGGGTGCGCTCAGTGGCGTCTGCGACTGATGAGGATGAACCGGCGGTGGTTGTGCAGCGTTCTGCGACTGGGACTGTTGGGACTGGTGAGACTGAGGGCTCCTGGGTAATGAAGACACGCTGCTCGGCCTCGAAGGTGGAGAGGCCTTGTGTGTCAATGCCAAAGCTTGGCTCTGCAATCATTAGTTTCACATTTATGATCGGTACTTTGGTCAATTTTCAAGAATTAACATGATTAGACATAAGGTAAGGTTGCCAAATTTGGACCGTCATCTAAATTGGACCACTACTGTAATATTATCGTCAACATATAGGGAATATACGCCGTACGATAGATAATATGTGTTGCTTATGTACTAGGTTAGTTAATGCACTTACCACTATTATACACATATTGTCTATCACACGGCGTAAATGCGACAACCTTCTCCTATTAGTATTAATAAAAAAACTGAAGTCAAAGAAGAGTTTACGAGGTCTGTCAGAAAAATAACAGGACTGATAGCGTAAAAATTTGGATTGTCATGTTATTTACGAATCAACATTATTCCCTTCAAGATAATTACTTTTGGGATGCCAGAACCCACTGGTGACGTTTTCGCTCTTTGAAACAATGCTGGCAGTCTTCAATAGGAACTGTTTTCAATTGGTCTACCACAATCTATTGGATGTTGTCCATAGTTCCAAGCTAACAACCCTTGAGATGGGTTTCCAGTTTTGGAAATAGTAAGAAGTCACATAGAGTCAAATCAGGAGAAATACCCTTATTGGCAAAAAAACGCGTTTATAGAGAATGCAGTGGGACAGTCAACGTTGTCATGAAGCAACATCCAAGGAAACTCTATGTGAACAAATTTTTAATCGAAAAGGCTCTTCCCGTGGCATCGAGGCCTCCTTATTCCCCTTATCTGAGTCTGTGTGACTGTTTTCTTTTCCCAAACATAAAGAACAAACTTCGGGGTCATCATCTTGGAACTGTGGACAACATCCAATAAATTGTGGCAGACCAATTGACAGCAGTTCCAATTGAAGACATCCAGCACTATTTCAAGAAATGGGAACAACGTCCCAGCGTTTTGTGGCTTCCGAACTATCTTGAAGGGAGTAATGTTGATTTGTAGATAACTTGACAATACAAATTTCTACGCCATCAGTCCCGTTACTTTTCTGAGAGACCTCGTATTTTACAAAGATCTAGATCGCAAAAAATGTAGTTTGTCTATTAAGAGATTTCCTAACTTTAAAATGAAATGAAAACTGCATTGATCGGAGTTAAATATTCCGTTTCATTATGTTTCATATAGGGAATGTGTCAAATTCGCAGTGTAAATATGACAGTGCTTATCATAGCGACCACTCAGAGAAGTTGATAACTCCACCATTTGTTATTTACGATCAAATACAAAGAGAGGTATGATTGTACAGGATGCTTCGGATTGTTCGGCTAAGTTTTATCTCATTGTCAGAATAGGAAACAAATAGAAAAAAATGTAGTTTTATGAGCTATACAGTCCTCTACATAGTTATATAATTATGTAACTGGTAATTATCGAAAGAAAATAATTCAGTGAAATAGCATGTTTTCAGTTTCATAAGAAGAAAACAGTATCATATCAATATAAATAAACGTTCAAGGTAATTTACTTGTAATAATTTTGAAAAGTTATTTTATATGAATATTTAGGTGCATTTAAAATTTACAACAATATCTTTACTTTCATGACATTGTATTAATGTTACATATTAAAGCTTTATTACGGCAATATATTTTATCCGGAATAAAAAATACTGACATGGAAATACAATCCGTAAAATACAAGCCAGTCTGAAAATTTTTAACCGGTCTTCATACTTTGCACAGCGGTACGTACAATGGGAATAATTTTCACATGCGGTAATCTTCGCGGATATAGTAGAAATCCAGGATTGTTCTTAATCTGCACGGAAAATCCTTGACATACTTTGCTTTTGGTAGCAAGGTGTATGCGTTTTTGTTACAAACCTTTACTTTGTCCAATTATACATATAGCCTCTCATTGATGCGAGTTAATTTCTTTTGCACTGTGTACTATTTGAAGTTAGAACGACGTCAAATTTCTTTTAACTCGTGTTGATGATTTTTACATCAGAATAATCTGGTGATATGTTTTAATTTAAACACTTTCTTTGGTCACTCCTTTTTAATATAATGAAACTTTTTCACTCTTAAAACTATATATTCAGCTGTTTCACTCTTAAAACTACTAAATAACTTACAAATCCCTTTTATAAAATCACTAAGTAGTATTTCTCAGAGTAAGTTTTCTATTTTTCACAGTAAACATAGTGAATAATTAAGCAGACAAGTTTAAGTCCTCGGAAAAAGGATGTCATCAAACGCCAAGTGGATCATTTTGATCTCCATCTTTAAAGTCACATAACTGTTTAACGAATAGGAACAGAATGAGCTTCCGTTTCAATGCATCAAATGGTAAAGTTGCAATATACCTTAACGAGTCATACATTTTCAAGAAGTATCATTAAACAGCAGATTTCTATACACGATGACATTTTGTAAAATAATTCTTAAAGACACGAACAAAAGTAGGAATTTCTTTCTTCTCTTAAGTATCTTATTTGGTTCAGAATAAAATAGAAAATTCGTTGCATCTGATGAAAGTTTTGTTTTTCAATGTATTTCACAAAACCCAAGAGGTTATAAATGCATGAAATCCACAGTCTAATTATCATATTAGTGAGAAAAGTTTTAATAGTACCTACCGAATATCAACACAGATTTTCCAATCGAACCAAGAGATACTAACTGTTTCGACTATACATATTCCATGTACAGGGTCTATCATTAAATGTTGTTCTTTTTAAATTTCTTATCAGTAAACGTTGGAAATTTCAGCGATAGTGCGTATACAGTGGAAAAACGTATTTAAATAGTGCAATTTTATTACGAAAATTTTCGTTCAATGGAAAATTCTTTTCCTAAATTTCGTGATTTTTATCCTCCACACAATCGGTCGAGTGAACATTTAATTCGCATTGTAGTGAAAAGATTTGATACAACTATTTCTGTAATAATCACTCCGACGCAAAGACACCTTCGTCCAGGTCGTCTTCAGAAAACATCGCGTTAGTTCGTGATAATGTAGCAATAGATCAGACAACCTCAATTTCAGGACAGTCTCAGCAAATAAGCCTTTAGTGGCCACCAGTTAGCGAATTATAAGAAAGGACTTTCCTTTAAAAGCATATATTATAGAAATGAAGCTTATACAATAATTAGATTGCACAGACATTTTTCCGATTATATAATTTCAAGGAATGGTGATGTTAATTGACCATCGAGATAATGCGATCTGATATTGTACTTCTTACTTTGGTGCTACGTAAAACGGAAAGTCTACGCAAAAAATCCGAAAACAATTGAAAACATTCAGTTGCAATTATCCGAGAATGTTATAGAAAATTGGTATAGAAAATTGTTATAGAAAGTTGTTGTAAAAGAGTGTTACAGAAAGTTTTTATAGAAAATTTTGATAAAAGAACCGGATCGCCTATAGAAAAACTCGTGATGGACATGTACCAGATATCCTTCTCTGCATATACGTATAATTACCATATATTTAACTTTATAAGAAATAAACCAAAAATGTCCGAATAAATTCGGTGTTATCCATAAAGATAAAAAAGCCTTAATGAAGGACCCTCTATAAAATCGTGTAAACATTGCAGAAACTCCGAATCAATTGGGCTGTGTTTAATAATAGACGTAAGAGGAACGACATGATGATTCCATCATTAATTCCGATGAGGCGACCGTCTGAGTTTCGGTCGTATCGAATGAGCCGGATGATCTAAGCGTTGTCGTCGATGAAATCTGAACACGTGCTCAATTCCGACAGCCGCGGCCTGCTAAGGCATAAGCGCGGACTTAGATTTATGTATGAGTGAACTGAACTTAACACTAACGGCTAAGCCGTTCACGGTGTTAACGAGGGTCAAGTGGGCCCAGAATGCGACAATCCTACACTATAAGACCGAAGTGCGAAATGCACCGCGCGGCGCGGCGGCCGGCCGTTTTCGCCGTCTGAAAACTGGATCGTCGATGACGCTTCCGTGAAACTCGACGATCAAACTAACGGGAAATCGTTTACCCCCCTCGAGTTGCGAACGATCCTCGTGTCTGTCGTCGTGGCTTATTTTATTTCAAGTTGCTATTGAATATTCCTGTACTTCGAAATAGATATTGTATAAAAATTCATTGAGAAAGTGTAGCTATCGACCCATTAACAGCTGTTGTTACATAAACGCAATATTAAATTTTTATTTTTCTTTTTAAGTAGGGTGAAGGCAACATTTTTCTTCATATCTGTCATAATTGTGTCCCCAACTTTTTTCAAAGATGTACCAAATTTTGTTTGCCAATAAAGAATTATCAATTGTTTTATATTTACGAAGTTTTCAAGTGAGAATGAAATCCCTCAAGAAATGAGAAGAAACAATATTGGACATATATCATTGTGGACATCGAGGAAAATTCAGAACGTGATGTAGACAATGCAAAAGTGAAACAATTTATACATATATGTGACAAATGGAATGTATGTATATTCAGAATGTTCCAGGGTCTATCATAATGAATAATTACTTAATTTTGTGTAATATTTCAAACCGTTGACATTTTGTTATTAGGTTCCTACATTTCTAATTTACTAAAATTTAATTTAAATGTCTTAATTCTGTATTTCAATTGAAAGTCAATAATATGTATACAGAGCTCTAGAGTTTCTATTTTAATGCTAGACCGGTAATGGGTTAATATTAGTAAATTTTATGTTTCGCAATACTCTACCTTCAGGTATTGCATAAATTTTCTCTTAAAATAAATATATAATAGTAGTAGTTTATTAATTTGTATCATGAATCGATTGTGAATATTTGTGTAAATTTATGTTTTTGGACTTATGTATGAAAACAGATATTAAGAATTTTGTTATGTCAAGCAAGAAATAGCTGAAAAGTTTATATTTAATCAATTTATGTTTAATCAATCTATTCAGCTATCTTTCTCTTACAGTTATAACGTTCTTTTTGTTTGGTGTGCTTTACCGAATTACATCGGTTACAAATGTAGAAAATCGGAATAGTATTCATTAATATCCTTTAAAAGAGATTTCTA